AGCAACCACCACCTGGCCAATCGGGACTACCGCCGCCCGTTGACAGCCCTTATCCCCCACCCCAGCCCCTAGCCCCCCCCATCCCCAGCCCCATCTCAGCCTCCTCACCTGCCCTTAGTCACCCCTCTCAACCCAGCTCCAGTTCCGACCAACCTAGCCACCAACCCAGATCTATACTAGATCTGCACAGCCCCCCTCCCCTCCAGCCTCATGCCTTATACTTCATCAGTCTGATAACTTAGCCGCCATCGCCATCTCCAACCCTATCCACCGTCGCCACCGCCGAGCCCTAGCCGCCGTTGTCGCCAAACCTCAGCATAGATCTGGAAATTCATCTGTCAGAGGAAATTAAAGATGAAGAAGAAAAATTGCAGAAGAATGTAGATAAAGGCGGCGATGAAGACTGGTAGAGGGCGAGGAAGACCGGCAGAGAGAGACGAAGACCGGCGAAGGGCGAAGAAGACCGGCGAAGGGCGACGATGATTGGAGGAGGGAGACGACGACCGCTGGAGCAGAGCAGCGGAGGCGGCAAACGGCTGCTAGAGGCGCAGGTTGCGGCTGTGAGGTGGACGAAAAATGCAGACTTGAGGAGACCTGCAATGGAGGAGACGTGGCAGCTGCAATTGGTTCGCATAGATCTCGATTAAGAGGAGAGGAGTGGTCAGTTTTATGTAAAGTTCCAAAATGGTCATATTTTGGTCTCTTAAAACGTTGGAAGTATTATTTGTGCCATTCTTTCCTATTAAAATTATAATTTTCTTTTAATTTGAATAAAATTAATCACATTGTTGAATTTATCCAACCATGCAGGTACTATTTAGTACTCCGTAGTATATACTACCTCCGTCCCGTTGGAATGTTCCCACTTTCCTTTTTTGGATGTCCCAATGGAAAGTTCTCATTTCCCTAAATGGAAAGTTATCTTACATCAAAACAGTGTCAAACAGTGCAAAACAGTGTCAAACAGTGTCAAACAGTGTCCAAACAGTGTGCAAACAATAAAATTTACCCCCTGGTAAGTTTATTTCCTTAATATGTGTGTAGGTCAAACCGGGAACATTCTAACGGGACGGAGGGAGTATAAAGGGATCCTTCCAATTCGCAAAAGGAAACCTGCGAGCTTTAAACTTTCCAACCGTGCAGCGTACGGCTGAGCGCTTATTTTTATAAAAATAAAAAAAAGAAAGTTGGATTGCCCTAAACTAAGCCTACGTTTGTTACGCCATTTCAGCTCTTAATGAGCTGATTTTTTAAAAATTCAGTCAATAATTCGGCCAAATTACCAAATTGGTAAAAAAATGTCATTGGACTGGTTGATTAAAAAATCAATTGAGACAAATTGGTAATAAAAAAAAAAATCTAGTGACAAATTGGTCAATTTTTTGTGAGTGATAAACTTTTGATCTCAACTTTATAATCATCGATCTTTCATATTCGAAGTATTGTGAAATTGACATTTTTTAGTCCTTTTATTTTGATTTTGTCATTAAAAATGGAAGTTTAAAATTATCAACGGCCATGTTTGATAATAGTATTTGTCTGGTAGCTAATAGCCGATTGAATCAACATATCGATAATAACGGATTCTGTTAGCTTTTATATTTAACCGCTTTTATTAGTTTTTGAAATAAAATGTTTGTAACTTAATTGTTTGTGATTAAATGTTAAGACGTAAAATGACCATTAAAGATATGAATTTAAAAGTATATATTTTATCTTAACTTTATTTTTTTATTTTTAATAAGTCTTTGAAAAGGTTTTAAAAATTATATTTACATTTATTATAAATAACCATAGAGTAATTTTAAAAAAAATAACAAATAATATATCGAGTAGAATTCTGGAGTATAATTTTTAAATGGAGTAGACTTTAAAAAATCTAATAAATAGTCATATTAAAAATATTATTACTAAAAGTATATGAATTTATATGTGTGTGCTCGCATTAATGTATATATCTTAAAAAGAGATTGTTAATAATTATTTAAAATAAACGTACACATAACTTTTAAAACTTTTTTCAAACCTTATAGAAAAAATTAATTTAAATATATAAACTTTTAAATTCAATTTTAATGGTCATTTTACGTCTGAAAATCTAATTGCAATGAAAATCTAACATTTTATTTCAAATCACTAATGAAAACGGTTAGTTAGAAAAGATAACAAATCCGCTAATATCAATTTGTTGATTCAACCGGTTATGACCTGGCAGACAATTAATATTATCAAACTCGGTCATTGACATTTTAGACCTTCACTTTTGATGACAAAATCAAAGTAAAAGAACTGCAAATGTCAATTCCACAATACTTAGAATATGAAATGTCGAGAATTCTAAAGTCGAGAATCGAAAATTTATCACTCAAAACATTGACCAATTTATCACTAGACCTTATTTTTTTGGGAAAAGGTGCAAATAGGCTCATATACTAACCAAAAAAGGTCAAATAAGCCCTTATTTAGGAGGCTTTGTCCAGCTGTCGCCATTTGGAGTGGTTCCCGGTGGATTTTTTTGATGAACTTTTTTTAGCATCTTATTCATCAAGTCTAGTTTGCTCATACCAAATTTCAGCTAAAACTTCAATCGGGAAGGCATTCAAATGAATTCTTGAAGATAACTGTGCTTCTAACTGCGCAGTTAATTTCAAGAATTCATTTGAATGTCTTCCCGATTGAAGCTTTAGCTGAAATTTGGTATGAATAAACTAGACTTAATGAATAAGATGCTCAAAAAATTTCATCAAAAAATTCCACCAGGAACCACCCCAAATGACGACAGCCGGACAGAACTTCCTAAATAAGGGCTTATTTGACCTTTTTTGTTTAGTACATGGGCCTATTTGCACCTTTTCCCTATTTTTTTTACCAATTAGTCTCAATTGGTTTTTTACCAATCTGTTCAATGACCCTCATTTTTTTACGAATTTGGTAATTTGGCCGATAATAGACTGGAAGAGGCTGAAGTTGGAAAAATTAGGCTGAATGATAACGGCAAACCAAGCGTATAACTTCAGCCAATTTTGTACTTCGTAAGTTCGTAATTTTTGCTGCAATCTATAGACTATAGACCGTAATAGCAGCATCTTTCATGTACATTTTATTTCATTAGAGTTTGATTTCTTAAAATACTAGTATTACAACTCAATTCGGTAAAATTCCTAATAAATTGAGGGGGAAATTGCACGGATCGAATACATCATTCTCTAGCCGTGAAACTCAATGTACATATATAAACATAGCGTTTTTTTTCATTTCACGTCCCTCAGCTATTGGGTCAGTGACATTTTTTATATTTGACTTTCAATTTTTCCATATTTAGTCCTCGATTATTGTGCGATAGACACTTCAATGTTTTTCACATTTAATCCCCTGAGTATTACTTCGTATAAAATTGACACTTTTAGTCCGTCCACTATGAATTTGACACAATAAATGGAGACTAAAAATATCACTATTATAATAGTTGAAGGATCAAAAGTGTCAAATTTATGAAAGTCGAAGGACTAAATGTGGAAAAAAACTCAAAGTCAAGTATCAAAAGTGTCAATGACATAATAATCGGAGGACTAAAAATGGAAAATTCAAAGCTGAGCACCAAAAGTGTCAATGACATAATAGTCGTGGGACTAAAAGTAGCAAAAACTCTATAAACATATATACTAAAATTTTATTACTCCTATTTATTAAAAATATGAAAATCATTATAATAAATATTTTGTTCTACTAATAAATATGTCCTTAAATGTAATTTCATACTATCCGGCCATTTTTCAGCCCTTTTTGCCAAACAGGTCTACCTCATCCAGTTAGAAATTCAGATACAGCATTTTGAATTCCAGCTCCACACAATAGTCTTTAATTCAGCCAATAACCCTGAGTTCAGAAAATAGCCTCCGGCTATAGCTCATTGCATGTGCCAAACATAGCCTAAAACTAATTCACAACAATATACGCCGGAGTACTAAATCATACTACATCCCGTCCTATTAACATTGGGACGAAAGAAGGTGACATGATTATAAAGAAAAGTGAGTTTATGTGGTTGATATTGAATTAAAAAAGTAAAAATAAAGTAAGAATGATTTAGAGCCACACAAAATTTACCAAATTTGGTATGTGACAATCTTAGTGAGATTTTCTTGTTCTCATTTAGTCATGGACCCGGGCTGGGTTGGGATTTTTTTGGGAAGGATGAACCGGGGCCGGCCCGGGTAACCACCGAGCCCGGTCCGAGTTCGGGCCGAGCCTCGAGTCTTTTTTTTATCCATTTTCTAATTAACCCCTCCCTCCCTCCCTCACCCCTAAACCACCCCAAATAGCCCAAAATACCCAGCCCAACCCGAAAAGTTAAAAAAAAATGAAAAAAAAATATAAAAAGCCCGGAACCAGGCCTGAACCGGCCCAGTCGGTTCAGCTTTTGGGTGGCCCGAGCCCGCACCGGGAACCCCCCGGCCCGGGCCTACCCGGGCCGGTTCAGCGCAGTACCGGTCCCGGGCCGGTTCCGGGTCGGGCCACCCGGCCGAGTCCAACACTATTCTCATTCCTGAAATATGAAAGTTTGTGTTTTTTAAACGGTTTTACAGGACTTTTGGGTTATGTACAAAACCCAGGCAAATTAATTCAATAAAAAGTTCAAAAACGATTTTGGTTCCTCTAAAATGGGAATGGACCAGATTGGTTTCAGCCCGATTATTTTGTTTGTTTTTAATGCGCATATATTTGGGCTGGTTTGAGACCACTTAAACCAAGTTGTTATCATGACTGGATTGTGCCCAAAATTCATGTTGCAGCTAGGACTTAGTAGTAATTTGCGACCCCAAACAGACCACTTGACTAGAACTGGTCCATGTCCGCCATTATAACTAAAGAACTCTGTAGAGGGAGTAGGGACTGAAGAGAAATCAAAGTTTTCATATTCCAAAAATCCCAAGTAAACATGCCCACCTCCATATTTAAATTCTTGCCTCACTCTCCATTTACTTAAACGCTTGATACTTTTCTTTTTTGATAAATACTCTCTTGTTCTGCAGTAATTGACAGTTGACACATTCCTTTTTGAAAAGTTTCTTATTATTTGAGTCATTTACATAATGAATCTACGTAAAATATCTAGAATGTCACCTATCGCAGGATAGAGAGAGTATAATATTACATCTATCAATCTATCAAATTTGGAGTAACAAAAATGCATTTACTTGCAGCGTCTGGCAGAACAATTTTTTTTATGAAAAGGCGATGTCAAGGCAGCTGCATTACCAACGCCCGTTTTAGCCAGTCAACCAGCCAAACCGGATCAAACTACGACCCATAAATGGCTTACAACTTTACAATCGATCAGCCATTTCCCCAACAGGATTGGTGCCACGAGTTGAACCAATCATCAGCTTGGAATAAAATGTTGAGTACACAATCTAACCAAGCAAGTAGAAATGATAATGCAATAAGCTTCTTGTTTGAAGTTTGATACAGAAAACGTAATAAACCATTTCAAGAAGACTTACCCATTATTCATATAAAGAATATCCCAGAGAACATCCCTATCGCATCATATTCCTCCACTTGTCCTTTAAATCAACCTGAATAAAAATACTCGATCTTACTACCAAGAAGCATATCATAATAGCCACCAGCAACATCAAGATGCTCACCTCTGTCCTTTCTTCAAAAATGTCTCCATAAGCTTGTAGAATGAGTTTCCAATTTCCCCGTCCAAACCTTCAAGAAACATACAAAATGGCTTCCTTAATGTGGATCTTAGAGTTAACATCCTATTCAGTCTCTGGACTACAAACTATTACTTAAATTAGTCTTGCCTTTCTTTCAGACACAAGTTGGTCCTCAACTTTGCAATCTAGACTTAATTTGTTCTTCGTAAACTTTTTGTTCTAAAAAACAAGGGTATTTGTATGCGCTGATGACCAACTTTTGATTTAAATTACATGATTTTGACCAAATTGAGTCTTAAAATTCAAGAATAGATTATAATATTCCTCTTATTTAGAACAAAATATGCATGAGGACTAAATCGGGTCAAAATTTATAACTGAAAACCAAACTGATACCAAACAAATGATGACAGACCAATTTCAGTGAATTTATGGTTGAACAAATAGATCAGGTATTTGCTGAAGGAAATAGCATTGTCTTCATAGGCTAAAAACCAATCACATACTTTTGAACACCTGTCCTCAATGTGTCTTCTTCTATTGAGCTCCACTTTTTTAATTTTCTCCTCTTTTTCAAATTTTTCATTTGATACTCCTGCAAAGGGGAAACATCCTTTTTTTCTACACTTGGTAACTTAGGTCTCTTTTCACGTCTGGGTGATCCTTCATACGAGCCATTTACACTATCATCCCACTGCATAGAAAGAATTGGAAGTTCCCAAACATATCAGGAAGCATGCAGACAAACATCTAATCTACCATCCTAGCGTCTACATGCTAATATGACAATAATAGGAATAATGTTCCAGTTATGGGATATATGAGCCCTAAATGCGCAAAGGTGTAAGAGTACGGGGTAGGGGTTGCTTTTTATTGTTATAGAATGAAGAGAACAATGTGGCTATTAAAGTAAATAAATGACCAAGCACTTTGGTCATACTAAATGATTAGTTTATATTTTAATTTTTAAATAAACTTTCATATTTAAGCATCATATTCTTAAAATTTATTAATAACTCTTCCCCTCCAAAATGTAGTACCACATTTGTTGCAGACCCATGCTAGAAGTTGATACATTTAAAAATTGACATGAGCGCACTAATCCATTACATATATAATGGAACTAGTTCAAAAGTGTATCCAATGGAATGTTTGTATGAGGATCTTATTGAACTGCATTTGCACCTTACATTACTTGGCCCTTGTTTGGTTGGAGGATTTGGAGGGGTTAAAGGGGAGAGGTATTACTTTCTAATAGGGCTTCAAAGAAAAAAATCTTGACTGATAAAACTAGTTTATCCTTTATGTCATTCTTAAATAGCATCTATCGTTTTCGAATTTAAGGATGTTTTACTTGGACTGAAATTTGATGGTCTTGTCTGGTCTGAACTGGTTTGGTAAATGTTTGGTCTCTGTATTTTATAGCTATGGAAGTCTTGTCTGGTCCGTTTAAGTTTGGTCTGGTCTGTTTAAGTTTAGTCTTGGGCTAAAAATAGTCCAAGTAAAAACATCCTAAGCCGCTATTGAGAATCAATCTACTTTCCTTCCACTACAATATTCTAACTTCTCGTGGATTTGTGCAACTTACTATTCATTTCTCATCTTATTTTAAAGCATTGTTACTATAATTCTTAAAACTATATTAAAGATTAAAATTAATCAGCTGCGATCTTTCATCTTTATGAGTGTATTTTGTCTCATTCAAATCCGTCCGGAAGCTTTGATATCAGGCAGAAACCTTAGTTGGACAAAAAAAACTGTCTGGAATTAAAATACTTAAATAGAGATAAATTAGTAAAAAACAATCAATCAATCACCCCCTCACGTTCTTGATAAAATCCCCCAAATAGCATTTTGATGGTTGTAGATGCCAACTAGGCAAAGTGTTACACCCATGGATCTACTGAGATACATCTGCTGAAAACGAAGGAAAAAATCTGGGATGGCCAGCGATAAGAAAATTGCCCTTATCACAGTGTGAGCAACATCTTACATGAACTAGTGAATTCAATTCTTTACATGAGTGCCTCATTTATGGATCTTTCTGTAACAATCATCAATTATCTTCTAAATTCAGTCGCAATTCACAATTGACAAACTTAGATTACATACCTTTTCTATTGTTTGCATGGATAGTTTAATAAATTGATTATTACACAATGAAGGTACAAGAATATTCACCTCAAATACATTTGCCGTACTGTTCCGCTCCATCAACCTTTGCTTGGACGGATTAACCTGACGTGGGCTGTTCTGGTTACTGATATTTCTCTCACTTGTTTGAATAACACCGCCAAAGCAACTAACCACAGGAGTAGTGGTATCACGATTTTTTTGTGAAGGTTGATTATCAATATTTGCAGCAACGAGTAGAGCATTTGGGAGTGGATCCATGACAACAGCTTGCAAACCCAAGGAACTTTTCACAAGTTCTTCTTGTGCAATATTGACCTCAGGGGTATCTACTAAACTATACTGTCTGTTTGATGTCTCAGCTCTCAAACTATCAGTATCATCAACCTTAGCTCCTCTAGATGTCCCGTCCAGGGTAACTCTGCGCTTACACGCAAGATGTTTGTGCTCTGCCACTGATTTTCCTTTTTTCCGGTGACGGACCCAATAATTGAATATGGGGTGGGCTGGGAGTTCTAAAAAATCAGTATCTTCTTTCTTATACAAGTTGCTCGATATATTCAAAGTTGTGCTTGACCAGATTAAAAATCCACAAAACTTCATCAATAACAAAATCAGCATCAACACTGTGTATTGAAATTTATAGTTAAGAGGTTCTATTCTAAAACATCAACCTAACAGAAGTAACTCGTAACGTTATATGTTAGCTTCTTGCATTTTGTTTAGTCAATATGGGACAAGATCTATAATAATATTAACAATATATCATCTTCGGTGTACAACATCAAATAAACTTTTAAGAGAATTGTCCCCAGCCTTGTTACAAAGTGTTTTCTACACATCTATGGTACGAACAGTTCCACACTTAGCTATGCTTGCCTAGGTATTTAGGGACATGGGTGTTTCAATCACAGAAACAGCCCAAAACAGGAATTCGAAGTTTCTGAGTTTCCGACACACTTCTGAACATATTTTTTTGGATGGACAGAGTAATAGTTTTATTTTTATCAACTGATTTGGAACCTAAGGAAAAGAAAAAAAAATCATAATGACTGAGTATGAATTGCTCAACCCCAACACTCGAGACACTACAATTACATGAAAACATCAGCATTTACAAGCATAACAAATTTTAACTAATAGATAAAGTAACCAGGGTGCAATTGTATAGACAGCTTGTGTAATCAATAAAAGTTGTATAGTTTAATACAGTACTGTCATAATCAATTGAGGGGATTGGTGTTTGCCACCCCACATTTCCATCTAAATTTAAGTTCTCATCCCATTTTTGTACCATTAACGTTTGCACCCCATTTCTGAACCATCACTATTTGTCTATTTGCACCTCAAATTTGAGACATTGAACCACAAATTCAAGACTTTGCACAGCAAATTCAATCCTGATTTGGAGATTCCTCATTATTTGCTGAATATTCTAGCTTGTGATGCAAATATTAATGTTTAAAAAATGCCATGCAAACTTAAATTTGGATGAAAAAGTTGCAGACTTCAATTCCCCTAATCAATTCTATGCATCTAATAACCACTTCTTGTAGAGAAATGAGATAAAAATACCAAACTACCTGTGTCATTGTTTGGATGGGTAGGCATTTGGGCATAACTTGGCAAAGCTGAGACCTTCCCTGCAATTTGGCCCTGGTCTTCTTCATTCTGTGATGGAAGAGACTCCCTACTGTTATTCTCTCTCCCAAGAGTCTCAGCCATGTATTCCAGAAATGAAGGGCCCATTTTCTCCATTGCTTCCTTAACAAACACTTTCACAGCCCCAACAGCATCAAGCGCTTCACTCACTCTCATCACATTATCAAAATCAATGTCTTCCCACGCAGTTGTCTCAATTAGTTCTCTCCATTCTGACAAATCCTCAGACAAAAGACCTGCGCTTTCCTCTTTTTCCATTCTACATATCCTGCGGCTCCATATTCTCTTCACGGCATCTAAATACTCAGCTTTAACACCCTCCTCACTGCCATTCTTCAAAACCCTCACAGTGCAATCCACTGCCACAGCACAATACGCTTCCCTCAAAGCTTCCGAAGCTTTGATTCCTTCCTGAAAATCTATCTCCTCGTATTTTTCAAGGAGACCGACTGTTTTCTCAGAAACGGAACCGTTTGAAATATTTGACTCGATTTCTCTTAGAAGGACTATTTTCGTTAGACGCCGATTGTAGTTCAGAGGAGCTGGGAGCACACGGATAAGAGCCGTCAGCGTTGCATCGTCGAGCGATTGCCGGAGGATGAATTCAAGAATCCACCCGGAGATGTCGTTGTCGATGTCCATGATTTGAAAGAGAAAAAGAAAATCCTAAAGTGAAACATGATTTGAGGTATATACACAAATGTACTCCCTATGTCCCATAATTATTTCATTCTTTCCTTTTTGGTCCGTCCCAAATTTATCTCATCTTTCCTTTTTTAGCAAAGGATTTGTGGTTCACAACCATTCTTACACTTTTCTCTCTCCTCTGCACAACTCTCCACCACACATTTCCCACTTTCTTAATCTCTGTGTCCAGTCAAAACTGAAGTTAATTCTGGGACGGAGGGAGTAGTATACTTTTTGATAGGTCGCAAAAAAAAAAAGATACGGAGTTCGGAGTAGGTCACAATAAATATACTTCAAAGTTCTAAGTGAAAAGTCATACTCCCTTCGAATGATTTTCCCTACATTTACTTTTGCCACAATATTTTAGGATAGAATAATAAGAGTAGTGAATAGTGTAAAAAAAGTAGGAGAGTGTGTAAAAGTATAAAAGAGGATATAAAAATTAGATAAAGTAAGGTAGTTGAGTATTTTATAAAGGATAAGCTTACCTGTTGGGACATTGGGCCGAAGCCCAATAATCCGGCCCAAAATAGCTAAGGGCCCAAACAAAGAGACAAGCCCAAAGGGAACGCAGTACGACGTAATGGGAGCCCGAATGGGATCCTGTCCACCAAGGGAGACACTGTTCGGTATATCCCGAACAGTGCAATTATCCACCTTGAAGCAAATAACGGAGCACAGCACTCACCCATCGGCCCGTAGGATCCAATCCTAAACGGGAAGCCCGATCGAGGAGTTTACAAGTGGCAGGCAGCATTTAATGCTAAAAGTATGGTGGTGGCTAGTGGAGGCATGGGTGCTCAAGTGGCAAAGGCAGCAACCAACCGGGTTCGGCCACGTCATCACCCCACCTACCCCTTTCTAGTATAAATAGATGCATTAACTGTCACGCCCCGGACCTCCCCGGACACGTCAACAACCCGCCGTACAATACGAATAGTCAACCGCAGTCCAACACATTCATATTATACAAGGCGTCATGAATATCATTCACACATGAGTCATCCATAAACATACATAATAAACAATTCAATACGCAGCGGAAAACATAGTTTGAAATCAAATATCACACAGGGCAAACATGAGCACGCAAGCTCTAAAGTAAAATATCCATGAGCATGTATATTAATGTTCTAAAACAGAATGGAGGAAGCACGAACCAAGTCTTCTCTCCGGGGAAATCACTCGAGCAACGAGCACAGGAAGCAAGCTCTAGCCTCAACCTGAAATGGTGGTGGGACGCCCCCGAAGGGGTCAGTACTCTATACGGCTATAAAGTACTGGTGTGGCAGGCATCTAATAGATATACAAGTATTTCAAACACAAGACCCTCAAATAGGGTGATAGTACATTATGATTTGTAACCCTAAGTTACCCCGTTTGAAAATATATACTTACTTTATATAAAAGTCAAGTAGTCGGCCCGTGGGCCCATGTTCATTTAGAAATCACCATTCCCATTCCCCGTGACTATAAGCCATGACATTGTATTCTAGAGCTCGGCTCTACCACATCACCATACAATTCATGTCACTTGGGTCAATTTCCTTACCTTGCATTCTAGAGTTCGGCTCTATCACATCACCACGCAAGCCCTAGAGCTCGGCTCTAGCTATTCAATACATAGACTACAAGTCTACCACCTTACCATGCATCCTAGAGCTCGGCTCTATCACATCACCATGTATGAAGGTCCAATTCTTAAGCAACCCTATGCCTAGAATTGACATATCAATAAACTACCTTGGGTCATCCTTAAAGACTTCCCACCACTTAACCTTAGTTTCATACTAAGTCATCATATACACTTGAAGTATATTCAAGTTCATTTCATACACTCCAATCCCTAGGATCAATTCCATCAACAATTCCCAATAATCACTAACTAGTATTTCAATACTATTAAGATCATCGTTATCATACAAATATGCTCATTATTTGTAATCCTCTACATATTTATAATTATGTAGCAGCAACTTAAGTATTCAATCTCAATACATAAACATTCATTTATGTATTCACATAATTCATACATGAGTAAAATGCCTATTTCACAAAATAGTTCATTTATAACCCATCTAATCTCATTTTATTCATACATTCTCAAATTATTTCCAATTTCATTCTTTGGAAACTACGTCCATATTTCATCATTATATAATCATCATAATCCATAAAAGTTATGGTTTAGGCATTTAGGTAATCTCATGCTTAACCTACAAGTTGTAAGCAATTAGATGTCAATCCTCACCTCAAATGAGCTTTAAGACTTTCCTCCTCGATCCAATGACCAAAGCCTCGGCCAAGGAAGCTTGAGAACTGATTCCTTGCTTAGAAATGAGTGTTAAACAGCCCCCTCAAAGTGCTAGTTCAACCCCTAATCGTTGATACGAAAACAACCCCTAGAATGGGTGTTTTCCGGATAACTCGTTTCCTAGTTTTTCCAAGATTTGCTCTTGGTTAGTATCTAACCTTTACATCAATAAAATAACTCAATAGGGACATATTATACACTTGGAGTAGTGTATAATAGTTCCACAAATCGTTCATATCATTTGGAAAATGAAGGGAAAGGTTTTGGGGTTAAAACTCACTTTAGAAGATTAAATCCGCTCCTGCGAGGTTGTGTTTTGCTCTGACGATTGATGCAAACCAGACCTTCACGGATTCCTCGTCTTGAGAGATTTCTTTTGGTATCTCGCACGACTTGTTTGGATTGGTAGAACTCGAGATATCAACCAAACAGTCTCGGTACTCTCACTGCTCGAGTTTACAGACAACAGTTCACTCCAGTTCGATTTTTGTGAGATAAACTCTCCCTTCTCGAATAGAGACCACTCAAATAAGAAACTAGACTTCAAAGGCTATCCAAGGACACCTCATTCACCTTATTTGGTCGAGTATAACATCACTCATGGAGGGAGACAACCAGCACCATCCTTTTGTGCGAAAATGGACTAGGTGGGGTTCCCTCTTGCTTCCTTTGTCAAGTCCAGCCCCTAAAGTCAGCTATGGCAGCCTCCTAACATTATTTTTTCTTGTCTTGCAGGTGTAAGGAAGAGATGGGGCGCAGCATGTTGTTCACTTGTTCCCCAATTATTTTGGGAGCAAAATATTAACTAATACATCCAAAAATGGAAGAATGGGTCCTATTGTTTAATCTTTTGTCAAAAGATGTCTTTTTGTACTCATCCTAATTTATTTAGAACAAGTTAACTTCCTACATCATATCATTGATTCCCAATATGTGTAGGATCATCCCAATAATTCATGTGATGAATATTATAGAAGAAAAACCCTACTCCCATTATTTAGCTCAATAATTTCAAAGATGGGACCATAGACATTTGTATTCTTCTCTAATCATTCTATTACTTATTTTGACATTTGTCATTCATATTATTGGACTACTAGCCGCGTGGGTCGTCCCCGAGTGGGCCTACGACGCCATTCTTGAATACTTGCTATTTTAGCAGGTTGGGCCCAAAAATGTTGGGCCGCCCGTCCTTCCTCAATTTGTCTTGAAAGGTTATATATCATTATTTAGATAATGTTGGGCTCTTTTATTTATTAATAAGTCCCGAATAAGTATTTGCGAAACCCGACACTAATGTACGAGTTTGAACAGTACAATAATCAACCATGTACTACGTAAAAGATTAATCGTTTTACAATTGTTTGGAAGTCGGAAATTCACTACGTAAACTTTGAATTTTAAATGGAATTTTCAAGGACGTTCGGGTGCGGTGTCACATTAACTACGTTGTAAAGGGTTAGCATTTTGATACTCAGGGCCTTAGATAGAATCACTACTGTAGTTCTTGTATCGATTATTGTTCCGACTTAACGTTCGGGATGTTGCAGTGTAATCGGTGAATTACTAAATACAAGTTGGCTTTCTCGGTGCATCTTTTCTAGTCTTTTATATTTCATACCCTATTAACCAAGACCAACGTCCTTAATATCCAAAGTGTGTGTTGAACTTTCGGGTCTATGGGATTAAACTTCAATATTGGCGTTGTCTGTGGGAAACTTGAACAAAAATCCCAAGCAAACTACTGATCTAAACGCCACTAGTTTTCAAGATTGTTGAAATCACTTCAACAACGACCAACTCTGCTTCCAGAGGTCAAAGAGGCAACAGGTCCTCCGAGAACTGGTCCACCCAAGGACATGCCGGGGGAGAGTCGTCGCAAGAAATTCCGTAGAGATTTCAAACACGTGATCCCAGATGCGGTCAGAAGAAATCCTTAACTGATGAGGGAAATGGCATCCGCAATGCAGCAAATGGCCGACGAGCGTGATGGGGGGGGGCTTACCTTTACCAATGACACGGAGTATGCCACCTTTTCCCCGATTCGCTCTATGACCTCGTTTGATGAGGAAACAGATGATACAGAAACCACCCGAGCTTCAGCCCATTCCCGGCCGAACATGGGAGACCACTGGAGGGGCCACACTCCTCAGCGTAGGCCGCACACTCTCAAAGACCAGACTCTGTTCATGCCCAGACGAGGGGCACAATCCAGGGAACCTACTCCGATGGTAGATCCAGTGGGACAGAATTTCCAATACGTCGAGAGGGATGGAGAATGCTT